AGACAGGACTTGACTTTGAGTCCACTGCTCTAAATAGGCCCCCCCATAGACTGTCACGAACTACAATCCTGAACCACCTGCATCCATCGACTTGCCGCACATTTGCACAGGTCGTCACTCTATCTAGTGCGGGATCGTCTTGCACCGCGATGCCCAGTACGAGGCTGCCACCTCAAGAACCCTTCTTTCCCAACGGTTATCGGTTCTACGAGACATATGGCCGGCCCATCGCCACTTCCGCTTGCTAATCTTCTGCGCTATGTCGGTTACCTTGTTTCTTCTGCGGATGTCTTGGTTAGGAACTCTATCACGCAGAGAAATACCGGGCATAGCCCGCTCCATAGCTCGCTGAGCGACTTTGAGCTTCCTCATACGGCCAACAGTGAAGGACCGCGTCCCGGTTCGGTAGGTCATCACTGGCAACACACATTGATTGTAGACTTTTGTCTTCAAACATTGAGTGATATTAGACGAGAAGATATGCCGAAGTTTCCAAAGAGTATCTGTACACGTGTGCGGGAAGCCGATGGATGCAGGTAGCTCAGGATCGTGCTTCGTGGCAGTCTGTGGGAGGCCTAAGTTCAGTAGTGGACTCAAACAGGCTGCAATTATGATTATGATTCAACCATTTCCTGTCTTTCCCTTAATAAACGGTTTTCTTTCATAAAAAGCTATCGTTTTATTGAGAATCATATTTCAAGTAACTGATATTACTTTGTAGATAATACGATAAGACAATGGTATTCAAACAAAACTTTAATATGTAACATACATTACATCCGCGAAAAACCCCCTTTTAATTTATTACCGTTTATGTTTGGTTACCTTTCATTAACGAATAAAATTATTGTTCATAGCATCTATTTTTTTTTTACACGAATAATATCGTAACATTATTTTGCAAATAAATGTTTTGTCTAGTATTTATAGTAAAAAATGTTTTCTATAATAACTTTATTTTAAGAAAGTACAAAATGAATAACTTTGTTTAAAATTATTTAATAAAAAATTACCTTTCATTTGATATATAATTCATCCTCATAAGTTAGACAATCTTTAAAATAATCGTCAAAAAACACTCTTTTATTTTTCCTGTAAAATTTTAATTTATCGATAACGATATTATTCGGTGAGGGGAGCGAATTTATGGCACGTAAAGTTCCACTTTATAATTGTTTTGGTATAGTTTTGTGAACTTATTTTTGGAGGTGATAGTAAAAGATAAACAGTACAGCTATCAAGTTTCTTACTTCCTTTGTCTCAGATAGATGTCACTTCTAATTCATTTATGACATTAAGGAAAAAAAACAAACTAAATATCATTGACATAATTTCAATGGCAAATTATTAAAATATCATTTGTTTCTTTCTGGGTATTTAAGACGGTACTTTATTTTAGTATAGTAGATCTACTGTATCTCTCAAACAACAAAGTACAAACCTCATAGGCAAGTTGCATTTTGATAACGTGCTAATTCGAGTTTAATCACAGAGATGGCGTGATTTTCGTACTCCAAAGACCCCCGTAATGTTTTAAGTCATAATAAATATCTATTATTATATCTAATGTTTATAAAATTAAATCTATCGAAATTCTATACTTGTCTACACTTAATTTTGTAAAGCGGTAAAATTTGTGACGTTATAGGGGTTAATCTATGGATGGACCAATTTTGAAAATTGTTTTACCTATAGAAAGCCACGTTATTTGTGAATGTCATAGGCTCTATATTAACCCGAAAAATTAAATAACTTTTTCGTCTTAGTAGGATTTCTAAAGTAAAGGATGTCGGGGAAAAAACGATCCAACGAAAATGTTTCTTACGAACGCTGCCTTAACGATAAGAGATATCGAGTATGACAATGCCTACAAAAGAATCAATGAGAGCATATGTCTAAATACATTAAAGTCACAGGAAGTAGTTCTTTTTCCATTAAAATATAATTTAAATCGTTAGGTCATGTGTATTGGTCATATTATCTACAATTATGAATTCTTATCAAAACAAGTAAATTTATCGTCTCATGTGTTTAAAACTGAAGACTGTTTTGCATTTATTGCATATAATTTGGACCAATGGTTACGACATGGGTATGGAACCGAGACCGTGTTGTAATAATCTATTGAATGATATTTCTCACAAAAGGTTTTTTTTTTTCAATACACAATACCTGAATCTATTTATTAAGTAATAAATTACTTTAAAGCAAAGGACATTTTATTAAGATAAAATTCGTTTTTTAAAGCATGTTTTATATTGAGTAGTTTAGGAGATAATTTTAAATATCAAATAAGCAATGAAATTTTATTAATGTTCGGCCAACGAGACAGTCTGTTTTGCCCACGAAAAGTTACTTACCAATACAGTTCAGTAAAGTCAGGCCCACCATTTTTGGTTGGCACATGTCTGCGTCTCCTTAGGTGTTGTAGACGTTCACGGACGGTGGTAATCACTATTGGCAATAACATCAGGCGATAGGCGGTCGCCTGGTTCTTCGATTCCGCAACAATTGACAAACTACGGGCCTATGGATAGGCAAATTATTATCGTTTGGGATTATCGAGGCCCTAAGTAGTAAACCACTGTTCCAAGTGAAAGTGGGACAAAGAACACCTGAGGGTTCACCTACCCATTTGTCTGATCAAGGGAATCTTGTAACTGAGCTTGAAGAAGCCGAAGACAGAGTGATGTGGAAGTGTCGCCGATTCTCTCAAAATTTTTCACGATGGACACAACCTTCGTAGTAGTGATAGAGCTTTACATGATTCCCTACGGGTAATGAAAACCCAACAAAATCAGTTAAGGTTGAACTAACACACAAACACACGTAAAACGTTTACAGAAGCTCGCGTTTCTTGTGTTTAATTTTTGTATGTTTCATAATACTTATTTGTGTACAACGTTTGGTATTGCATGATTTGGTTTTCAACAAAAAATTCAGAATAAGCAAAGACGTCACTATTTGAGAGTTCATGTAAACGTGCAACAACTAGTTGGTATAGTGTAATAATTTAATTAAAATTAAATTATTACACCAAAGCGTTGGTATCATCCACAGACTACTAAGATGATATGCATCAGACGGGAATCTTCATACAACGAATGAACCAATAGAGCACGGTAACTTAGAATTTGACATGTGTTATTTTTTTATTTTCATGACTTTTTTTTAGGCAAAAGCAAACCGTCTAAGAGGCCAAATAGGAGGAAGAAGATGCAATATTTTCATTTCTGGTTTTATTTGAATGGATTTCATGTACAATAGACCACAAGTATATTAAAAAAATTAAAATACTGTAATTTATTGTAAAGAAATGCGATTTCAAATTGATGGTTTAAATTTTCGCGCGACAACGCATCTACAATTGCGATCTCCTGCCTGTCACTTGCCTTACCAACTTGCCCTATAATATAATTTGTCTCTCTTTCATGGCATAAGTTTTGACTTTTTAGAAATTTATTATTATTCTTTTAAATAAATACCTCAAAGTACAATAAATAAATAAAATTAACAACAAATAATACAATGAATCAACATCAGGTAATCATAACAATACCACCAATGTTCCGAAAAAAATCCGTGTTGATGCGTGTTTCGTACCTATGTGTTCATCGGCTTCAACGAATTTCCCAAATAGTTAAAGTGCGAAGAAGGATGTTTTAAGGTCGAAACAAATTGCAAACCTTTTTTCACATTGAAAGAGAGATCAGAAGACTGCGTGTGTTTGATTTTCCAAAGCCACACGCCTGTGTTGATCATTTATTTAATACCCAATGTAGACTATGCTATGATCATTTGTTGTGCTTGTCAATTTACAATCAGCCTTAATTAAAATAGAATAAAAAAACTGTGTTAAATAAACAGGGTTTTATTTTAAATGTTTATCAAAAATGTTTAAGAAAATTTAAAAGTATGGTTAAATGTTATTATAAATCTTTTAATTTTGGGAATACAGCATCTACACAGAACTTCATTGCAGCATCCAAAACAGATATGATGCTGCAATTAAATGGCACATAATACACATCTTCTTTTCCAAAATTTAGCCTAACTACACAGAAAATTGCAATGTTTTCTTCTGCTGAATAACATTTTAAGCATCTTGTGCCCAAAATTTTTCAAGTTTTGTCCCTCTAGCTATTGCAATGGAAGTAAACTTTCATGGTGCCTCCATAATTTTAATCAGAAGAGAACCAATTTTACTTTTGCAGTGAGCTTCATATAGAGTTGAGCCAATGATCCTTCCATACCTGTAAAAATAGAAAATGTATTTTTTTTTCTTTTATATCAGACGGTTCACCTGATGTTGTAAATACCGCCGCCCATGAGGGTTCCTGATGCGTTGACATTTGAAAATTGAGGCTCCGGCCACCACACTCACCAGACAAAACGCGAAAATATTATACTTCCACTTTACGCCGGTCTTCTGTGAGGTTGTGGTACTTACCCGTACAAGCCTACCCATTCGTGCAACAGCCGAGGCTGCTGCGTGGCCCTACCACCGTTATACTTTTTACATATTAGTTTATGTTTATCTTATTATATCGATTTATTATTATCTATGCATGAAAATTTGTTTTTGTAAATACATAAATTGAGTATATAAATAAAACTATATTACATTCTATATTACCTTAAACCATAGGAAAAACTCCATGTTAATATGATCAGATGTCATTTTGTTTATCTTCCAAGAAATGATTGTCCAAACTTAGAACCAAGCCTGAACAAAGTTTATGTATGTTTACATTTTGTTGCTATCCTAAAAATATTAGGTATAATATTTTCTTGACAATGTTTTGTTTTAACCACATTTAAAATATCCACCTAAAAACATACAGTTATTTATTTCTCTAAATAAAAAAGTATGTAAAACTGATACTTGAGAGAAACTGTCAGTGACTGGAAAGATTTTCCAGAAGCCCATATAGATAATTTTGATTACTTCCAATAACATGTGATGGACATAGTCGAAGGCTCCTCAGATGTTCTGTTCAACCATAGCAATAAGGCAGCATGTTTACACCCACCTGGAAAGATATTTTATCATAATCTGTGCTATAATACACTAACTATTGTATTTTATAAAAACCTCAATTCTTCACCTTCAGGGGCTGCACAATTTTCGCATTGGCAGGACTGAACCAAGCTTTGCTTTCATTTATAACCATTGTCACACGATAACCACTAAGTACTTCATGCTCCGGAGTAACTCGAGTTTTTACCGTACATGATTCTCCATATCTTTTGATTTTGATATAACCGATAGCGCTGTCGCCACAAAATTTCCTTGTTGCCCTGAAATAACTGCTGAATGTAGAAGCTGCTGAATGAAATACAAAGTCTCACTGTGATTTATATATACCGTAATATTTTAATCCCTTTCATTTCTACACTTGAAACCTCTGCACTTTCAACAAAAAAATTATAACCATGTCAATACTAACTTCCGGTAAATTCCTGGAGTCTGCTTTTATAATCCCAATGTCCATTTTTATTCAAAAATACAGTAAAATTTTGCAAAAAAACAATGTTTACCTTTCCAATTAACTTTATTAACCTTTATAAGCTGTCAAAACAGGGATGACGTCACTAGACGCTGATTGGCGTTTTAAAAATTATGTATATTAATATTACAAATAAGATTAAAGTAAAGTTTCACGTTACTTTAATCCGTAATATTTGTTAAAAATCAATGTTGCACTGGTCAATTTTTTATGATTTTTTTTTAATATATAGAAGGCCGCTTTTTTTAATATATAGCATATAGAGGCCTAGGACATAAACTTTAAAAAAAAATTGATGTGCGGAGACCCCACGGACCTAAAGTTTCAACAGCAAATGGCACAAATACATATCTAAACATAAAGACTCATATTTGCGCCGCTTACTTACTTCAGCTGCCTCCGATACCACCCTGGCCCTGACCGAAGTACCCCTTAAATGAGAGGCAGCCAAAGTGTCTACACAAGTTGCGTCCCAATTAAAAATAATGATGATTGTCATTAGGATTTTAAAATAAAACTGCATTTATACTATTTATTCAATCTTTTTTTTTTTAACTATTTTCTATATTTTTCAAGTGCTTTACTTTGCATAGGCGGTAAACGATCGTTGAGGCGCATTAAATCAATTACTTTTAAATTTTTTTTTATTATTGTGGCATTTTGTTATCCTTTATGCAAATGACAAGTAAAAGGAAGGAAACAGTGGTTTTGTTGAAATATAAATTTATTTCAACAGGACTAGGAAGCGGAATTTGGAAAAAGGAAAATAATCAAGAAGATTTCAAAGGAATGGTATATTAATAGGAAAAGGTATCCGGAGCAATAGAAGATCAGTAAAAAGAGAGGAGCGGTCATATAATGGACAAGAAAGGAAAATATGGTTCAAATTTCCGTTCCACAAGCACATAAAGAAGTATCTACAACGTGAATCTTAAACAGAAAAGACGGAGAACAGCAGTGACCTAATCGCAATCGAATTAAAGAACTAGTACAATATTTATTTAAATTGACTTGAGTGTACCAAGGCTTATTTGGAATTGTCGGTTGAATTGAGGAGTAGAATTTTCCTTTCACTAGGTTAGGAGATGTCCAGTAATGTTCCCAGGACTCTTTCAAATATCCCTTCGACAAGGAAAGAAGATCGTGACAATAATTAGTGTAAGGATATATATCACCGCTTAACACGGCTTCATTTGCTAACTCGTCTGCCTTTTCAAACTTTTAAAATTTTATTTTTGATACTACACCAGTTAATCTCAGATAATTTGATTGTGATGGAAACAAAATAACGAAGCAGAGTCTCTTTGTAATGTTCAGATGATAAGAAATCAAATGAATATTTAAATTTTATTTTATTAGTACTTCTTTTGAAATTTCGTTCGCATTTATGTTCAATTCTAAATATTCGTTTGTCTCTTTGACAATATAAGAAAAAAGCGTAACAGCAAATTCTGAGGGATAGGTTAGTTTTGTTTATTTTTAAGTTCTTTATATTCTCTGAGAGAAATCCATTTGTGGATAGAAGATACATTATTTTGGGACAAACAGTTTTTACATTTCAGACAGCTGAATTTACTCAAACATTTTTTCACAACTCATCCCGTATTGAATGCACGAGAGTGTACGATAAGCTATTCTGTTTAGCCGATTGAATACTTTCGGAATCTTTCCGAGACGAATTTTTACTTTGGTTTAGGTTTAAAAAGTTTTTTTTAAATTTTAATATTATTTCTCCTGAAGTTTCTTCACAATTAACATTCTCCAAGTGAACATTAATAAGTCATAATAAATATCTTTTTATTTATCATCGTCTTAATATTGTTCGAGTAGCCTTAGTACAATTAGTAAAAAAAAAAAAGAAATGTCATATTCTAGAATACTACCGTTTGTTTATGGTCTCAATACGGTGTATTTTTTTTGTTCTAAGATTCCATGCCGTGGTATCATCATTCGCTACTAGTTGTAGTAGCGAATGATTACTTTATATATTATTATAATGATTAATTTATCTATGCTTTAGTTGTCACTATATAGTATAAAACAAAGTCGTCTATGATTTCTAGCTGTAGTGATTCAAGAGGAAGGTTTATATGTATAATACATTCATATAATAGTAGAATATATTCAGTATCAGCATCGCATCTGTGCTAAGTCGCTGCGGGTCGCTAGTTTGGTATAAAAATAAAATGAGAGCGATGGTGGGGCCACGCAACAGTATTCACTTTTGCACGAATGGCCAGGTCCGTACGGATAAGCACCGAGACCTGCGTAAAGTAGAAGTGTTACACTTCTGCGTTTCATCAGAGTGAGGTAGCCGGGGCCCACTTTATTTAAAGGTGGCAATGCATTTGCAACCCTACGGGTTTTACAAAAATTACCTAACATCAGGCGAACCGCCAGCTTTTTGCCACTTTCTAACATAAAAAGAGGCGCGGGCTACCCTGAATAGAGTGCCGGGTGGAGCTAAGTGCGGTAACAGTATGGGACTCGACGGCTGGACTCGACAGCTTTCTATTGGCTCTCTAGTTTAAATCTCCATCTATAGTGTTTACTTTTGGGCAAATTTTCATTAAATTCAAAAAGACAACATATATCGGTGCATTCTTTTATTTTGGAGTTGCAATTATCAATTTGCGCGATAGCCAAACCCGCTTCGAAGGCACTTCTCATGCTCTAACAAGTATATAAAGCAGATAACATAACCATGCGAAGTTAACCAAAATTCCGTTTTTATATACCTTCGTAACAGACTTTGAAGAGTAGTTACTTTTTAAACATAACTCAACCTCTCTAGCTTTACTATTGTTCCATGAGCCTATAGGAGGTGCTCCCAGTTATCCAAATCCATGGTGTATTTAAATGCAGTGAGCAGTATTACCACCAGGAAATAAAGTGGTGGTTTAACCGTCGAAATCATAGCAAGAGCTATCTCTTCCTGTTCAAGAAATTTGTTTTGGAGCTGTAAATAAATTCGTAGTCCCCTCGTCGTGAAATCGTGAATCGCGAAAATAGTGCTAAATTAAAGGCACCAAATAAATAAAGTACAGTATTGGTAAATCGACAACTAAGTTTAACACATGAAGTAAGAAGGACATTGCGCTAGTTTATGTTTCATTTTACATTAAAAGCTCAACATCGATAGCTTGTCAAATTTACTTTATTACCATCTAACTTTCATATCCGACCATATGCCTGATAGTCATTTATCTTTAGATAGTACACCAATTTGCCAATGGCATGTCTAGTCCAGGTATAATGCCGAATACTTAAATTTGATCTATTCTTTCTAGTAAAACATTTCTTCTTATGTTTGAGTAAGACCAAAGAGTACATTATTAATATAGAGTCATGTCTACTCGTGAGACAACGCCATCTCTTGATGCGGGACCAAACTACAAGTTCAGATGTATATAACCTATACTAATTAACCATTTTGTTTTTACAGTTGCGAGCTGTATTCAACTACAGTTTTCTATATAGTGTGTATGAAATTTATTTAATTTATATTTGATAACATTGTATAAAAAACTGTAATTGGATACAAGCTTGCTTATTTTTTTTGGATAAAGTAAATAAAATACAGAAATATGTTTTGCGAACTTTATTTAGTTTTTTATAATATTCACTCGCAATTTTTTTTATAATCTTTGTTATCAATGATTTCGAGTCTGGTGCCGTTTCGTAAATTATTTACGTTAAATTATTTTTGGCTATCCAAAATCAGTACATTTCCTCCAATAGATAGAATCCATGTTTTAAATCTGTCACTATCATTTTCAGGTGAGGAAAAGAATGAAAAATTTGCGTTGCAGTCTTTACCTGTTAATACAATATTAATGTTTTGCAGTAACGTATAACAAAATAAAATGATGAATAATGAAAGATAACCGAGTAAAATAAATGAATAATAACCGGCCGCAGTCAGTGTTACCAACTGTTGAAAAACTCCTGAAAAAATTCAAAAACCTCCCAAAATCCACTGTTTTCAAAAAAAAACTTCCTAAATGAAAAAGTCACCTTTTTGAAATTATCTAACAAGCTAGAATAATTATCGGAAAATTTAATTATCTGGGTAATCATAGCTGTTTTATTTAAAAATTAACTTAATTAATATACTTGACCTTGAACATTGTTCATTGACTTGAAAAATATTTATACGAATTAAATACATTTTATTGTAACGTTATAATAATTTTCATTATTTTTAAGAATTATATTACTTTTTAATTGAATTTAATATATTATGAGTAGCCGTATTCACAATAAGAGTTTATGGCAGAACAATTTAAAATACTACATAGGCCAATGCTGCCGATACTATTACATTATATTTTGTGTTTAAAATTGTGTATTTTTTTTAATGTAAATAAAATTTTATTCCTAAAAAGATTCCCAAAAATTTGTTCTAAAAATTTCTATTGTAAATTTTTCTTCCTAAGTGAGGAAGAAAACTCATAAGTTGGCATCCGTGCCGCAGTTACGTCGGTAACGTTCCGTTACACTGTTTAAAATTACTTCCAGCATTTTGCTTAGTTGTTTTCTTTCAAATTAATAATTTTTGTTTAATAAAATACAATTTTCTCCAAAATAAGAACCATACATATTTTTTTTATAAATTTATTTTAACTTTTAAATTTTGTTTTTAATTTAATGGTACCATAGTTAAAATGGTTTTGCATTTAAAACAACGCCATCTGTTTTTGACGGATGGAACTAGACGGAATGAGCAAGCTCCATACAAATATCAAATATATGATGGACTTAAAAGACCGTGAGTAAGACGCTAGCCAACTGAATGTATCGAAGGTCTACGAATAATTATGTTTATATGGGACTATTCTAAATCATGAGGATGTCTTACATGTAGTTAAAGTCAAAGAC